TAAGATTTCTTCTTTTACTAATAACTATTTTATTATATAAGCTATAGCTATAAAATTTTAATAGCTATTAGATTATACATATATCTATCTAGGTTTCAAATGTCAAAAGAAAATATTAAGGTTTAGCTTTGTTATTAAGATATCCTGTTTTGATTTTCCAATGCCAAGCTTTTGGGCGGTTCGGTGGTGTGGGCGGTTCGGTGGTGCTTTACGTTAATATAAATATAATTTATAGGTAAAAGGCGCCTTAGATCTTTAAAAATAGCTACAGTACATTATTTATACATAATTTTAGTGAAACTCGACTTGTGCGCAGAGGTATAGCCGCTCGAAGTCAAAGTACCCCTCATATTTTGCGGCACGGTGGGTTTTGCGCGACCTAGGGACAGACGTTAGTATTTCCTAATAAATACTGTTGGCTGCATCATACTTTCATATATTCTGGGATGCTGTGGTGTCCTCTGAAATATACCCAACGACTTAAAATTTATACTGAGAAGTTCTTGAGGCTTATTTAGCATTATGCATCATGCTAATATAATCTTAACATATTTTTCACATCCTTCAGCAAGCCATGATTCAAATAAAGCTACTTTTTGCTTCTCACCGCACTTCTGGTGACATTGACATTTGGAAACGCTCGTGCCTCTGCGGTATTTTTGCAGGACCTGTTTCATCGCAATCTGCTATGCCGCAGTAAGGCGACTGACGCAGCTGTGACAGCACTGTCCGGAGGCTAGCCGATGCTTAAAGCGTCCCGAGGTCTGGCTCCAGCCTCGCATTAAGTGTTGCTTGTTTAGGTAATGACTAATGGTTTAGATTTGCGCAAAAGGGTTTATTGGAGGAAACAGTTGAGACAGTGAAAAAGCATGCATATGTTTTTGCTATATTCAACGCAGGCGGGCAATCAAGGGAGGGACATCGGGCGGCGGACGGGAACGAATCGTATGAGTTATACGGATATTTATTATCCACATAGCACCCAAGAGCTTTCAAGGCATTAAAAAAACTTCAATACAGTCAGAGGACTAGGATAATGACGTACTCGTGCTAAGGATGAGCGATTAAAACCCGACTTCGTAAGCTTTTTACATAGGGATTAGGGATGATTGTACTAAGAATGTATCATTAGGATCCAACACGGATTATTCACGTTTCCAATTAGGAAGCGGGGAGTGTTGATTACTGTGAGCCATCGGAATCTACCCTGCCTTTCCCCAATCCTCTTATATCCGGCGTAGGTCTGGCTTACCCTAAGGATACACCGTTCGTAGGGATCAAAACAGCTGGGGAAAAGAGGGTATTCTTATATTGGGGCTTTGACTGCACTGCATCGGACTAATCCATCCGTAGGGGAAAAATGACAGCATAATTGATTCAACCATAAATCGCTCTTGCCAAACGGTCTAAAATTACTGGTAGGAGCTAATGAAACAACAAAACCACTGTTTTCGTTTTCTCAGCTCCCGCGATCGCATATCGGGAACTTAGATCTGGAGTAGATGAAAAGATAGCAGCGACGCGTGGTGTTGTTAGAATTAGCATCGAGACTAGTCTGACGGAGAAACGGCTCGTTTGTTTCGCCTATATGCGTGCCCCGCGCACCCCTACACTTGCATGCATCATATCCTGGCCGCTACTACATGCAGTAATTTTTTAACATGAAATATCAAATTCCTTGCAGATCTGCATATTCAACTTCTTTCCTGTCCACTTCTTGCACTGCTGCTTTACCGACATTGTGCATCTGTACCGTACAGCTTAACGACTGTGCTGGAATGTCATGTCACTTCGGCTGAGATCGAACCAACAAGTAAAGGTACCATGGTAGAGTCATTCAGCATAATTACATTTCGAGATCGTTCTAAACTATCAATGCCTCCATGAATTAGACAGGGGAACCTTGGAATGGCAGCGGAGGTAGGAAACGAACATGATCGAGGCTTTCAGTGGAGACTTGGGTGGGGCGGGCACTGGTGGTTCGACAATGAAGCGGACTGCCACACCATCACTCATTTGGTTTGCCAATGCGATGATGGGTCATCGCCAACATCCATTAGTCGTGTATAAAGAGGTAGTGAATCGTACCTATCAGCCTCCTCACAGCAACACTGCAGTTCACTCTTTTACAACCGTCTTATTTGACACTGACATTCTTTCACGTCATTCTATTCGTTCTCCATTGACTGAAGTTTATTTTTGACCATCTTCGTTGATTCAAGGCTTGAACGCTAAATTCCCACCACCACACCACACCCTTTCACAACACCATACGTCAATCGCAATGGCTCCCTTCAAGCAGACTGCTGCCCTTTTGAGCGCCTTGGTCTCCACGGCTTCCGCTCACGGTCTTCTCAGCAAGATCACCGCCGACGGCACTGAGTACCAAGCATATAACCCCAGCTTCCAGTCCGCCAACCCCGCTCCCGAGGTCATTGAATGGAGCTGCCCTCAGTGCCACGACAATGGTTTCGTTGAGCCAGCTATGTGGACCGATGTTACCAAGATTGCGTGCCACAAGGATGCCACCGCCGGAGCGAAGGTCGCCCCCGTCAAGGCCGGTTCAACCATCGATATCCAGTGGACCACCTGGCCCGAGTCCCACAAGGCTCCTGTCATTGATTACCTCGCTAAGGTCGACGATGCCACCACTGCCAAGGCTGCCGACCTTCAGTTCTTCAAGATCGACCAGAAGGGTTATTCCGGCACTACCTGGGCTTCTGACGAGCTCATTGCCAACAACTTGACCTGGACCGTCACCATTCCGAGCACCATCGCCAACGGCCAGTACGTCCTTCGTCATGAGATGATCGCCCTGCACTCGGCTGGTCGGCCGAATGGCGCCCAGAGCTACCCCAAGTGCATCAACATCGAGGTCACTGTTGGCGGCTCTGCCAACCCACCTGGTGTCACTGCTGACAAGCTCTACAAGCCTGATGATGCTGGTATCACTGTCAACATCTATGGCGGCGATTTGTCTGGCTATCAGATCCCTGGTCCTGCTCTCTTTGAAGGCGGCTCTGCTGGTAGCAACAGCAGCAGCAGCAATGTCGCTCCTCGTGCTCAGCGCCAGCATGCTCGCACTTTCTAGGGAAAAGTAGAGAGTGAGGGAAGCATTTTTATGGGCGTAAAGTAGCAGCGTTCGGCCTTTTCTAGTGGATATATCTTCTTTTTGCTCTTAGTTGCTGCGGTCCGAGGACTGCATGTTCCTTCCTATATATAGATGTAAAACATTTTTGCGAATTCTCACCCGACCATTCTGCACCGTGATTTATTAGAGTGATGCCAGATATCGCAGTTTGATAGTCCCCGCCATGCTCACTCTTGTGATACTCCTTCGTCTTAGAGCGAGCCGCTTATTGTCATTCAGATCTTGACTTCCTTTTGAACGTCCATGGCTGGGTCAAACGCTTGACTTTGGTATATATACTCAACAATATTCATAATCACATATTTCATTCAGTTTAGCTATCGTGCAGTATTGCATGTTTTCCGGGAATTTGGCGCTACGCTGCACACACTTCATATTCCCGCTCTCCCGTCTTCTTCCTTACCAACTTGCATATTTCCGGCAAACACTCTATTGGCCCACAAAGAGCATCCCCGCCTTCTTACAGCAAACGAAACTGCTCGTTCACGTTTATTCCCCTCACTTACATTTTTCACTTTCTAAATCGACCTGCACCGGCTACACCTGCTTCCGCTTCTGTTTTAACACTGTTTATAAGTTAATTATGGCCAACAATCCTCAATTGTCACACCAATATAGTCCAGAGGTCAGGATGTCGGATTTTCAATCCTTTGATTGGAAAATCTCCGAAGACCCGGGTTCAAACCCTGGTATCGGTATCAACTTTTTATGGTTTCTTTTTGCTAGTTCCATGTAAAGGCGCCCAGCTTTATCCTGAATTAAGTACTGCTGTTTGGCGAGGGTTAACTTACGTTGCAGTAAGGGTAAAGCGTAGCGAACAGTCAAAGAGTTCTCAGAGCCCTACGAACAGTCCACGTATACTCAAGTGCTAAAAACCAGGCTGCACTCCGTCTTTCTACTATTGTATGGCACACTTCCACTGAATAAAAAAAACTGGCAGGAATGTCAAATATGTGTCCTTTTTCCTTCAGTACCGGACCTCCGACCGAGAATATCAGAGTACCGCGTCCTTGTCAATCATTTTTCCTTCTTTCAATCCTTCTCTCAGGAAAACTGCGTTCTGGACCCATGTATCGGCATCGTCTCTAACTCTTTTCCGCCCACGTAGTGAACACTAAAACTCCAATGACCAGATGAGCATGTCATTCACGACTTCGCAGATTAGAAACCAGAGACTTGTTCTTCCACGCCAACAGTCCGATCTCTTTAAATTTTATCGACCTATCTGTCTTCCTCCTCTATGGGTTAAAAGAAATGTTCTCAGTATTTCATGTCCCGAGTCAGTTCCTTGTCGACCCACAATGAACCCCTAACCGACGACAATCACGCATTACTCCTTTCCCTCTTTATATCTCCCCGTCGTCATATTATCGACATTGCTATAAAAGACCAAGGTGGAGATTGCATGTTCTTTCCCCACCTCTTTGCAAAAGATTTCCCCATCACCTCCAACCGATATTTACAGCACCATCGCCCTCCTTCAAGACAAAAGCATGGGAAGAAATGGTGGTATGGCCCGCTCTGCCAGTCCAAAAGCACGATATCCAGACGTCATGTGTTCTCTCCGCTCTCCATATAACTTCACATAATTTTTTCCATCCCCCTTCTTCGGCAACAACCGTACGCAAACACCACATGGTCCGTTCCGCCAGTTCAAAACTCAACTACCTGGAAACATGTGTTTCTCGCCTATCTCCTCTCCACCTCCGATATTTCCAGTCCCCTCCTCCCCTTCCTCTACAAAAGAGCGCTAGCCAAACGACATATGATCCGCACCGCCAGTCCAAAAGCTGGATGGACCACCACCATGTGTTCCTCTCCAGCCTCTTCTCCAACTCTGATATTCGCCTTCGCCCCCCCTTCTTCACCAAAAAGGGAGAGAGGCAGCCCTCATGTGATCCGCTACGCCAGTCCAAAACCGATATCCACAAGCTCGGATGTGTTTCTCTCCGGCCCCCTTTCCACCATGAATCCGTTATAAAACCCGCACGGAGATGAAAATGTTTGGAACCCAGATCGAAAAAGATGACATGGAAGAGAGCTGTGTGTGTCATTCCTTCGCCCACCCTCTACCCAAAAGAAAGAGAGGCGAAAACAGAAGGTTCGAAAAAGCTATGGTCCCTGCGACCTTTTTCCGGAACCTCTAAAATGGCTATTTTTTGCTACCGATGTTCTCCGCCCCTGTGTTTCCCCCCTATCTATCCACCGCTGGAGCAATTAAGGGGAAGAAAAAGGATACAACCATACCAAATATGCGCGCGAGCCTGCCTCTGTTTGAAACACTAAGCCTGTATATGTTTTGTCCTCTCCCTCCCTCGCTCCCCTCCCCAGAGTCGAAATCACCATATACACCGCCGGACATGGTCACTTTCTATCTCATTCCACAGCTCCAAAACAGAAATTTTATACACTGTACTGCGCAGCGCGGTGTTTGAAATTTTTGGAAAATGTTCCCAGAAGTTCCACAAACTCCGAATTATAAATCAAACTCTAAAGAACTGAAAGAAAGGTACATGTGCCCTTCCTCTTCCATTCCCTTTCACCTCCCACCGTCCAAAAAGCAACGGCTATGATTGGATGTTCGGGGTACCGTCCTCCTCTTCTCTCTTTATTTCGCCAAAAAAGCGTTCCTTTTTAGTAAAATGTCTGGCGCCCCCCGCTTCAACCTCTCCACTCGGACCCTGCGGCACGAAAACGTCATCACGACGGTCCCATGGACATGTCGTCCCTCGCTCTCCCCATGTTCACGAATTCGTCTAAACTCGCGAATTTCAGAGTCAAAAAGACAAGTTCGCCCCGTACAATGCCTGTCGTGTGCAGGAAGGAAGAATGGCTGAATATAAAAGTTGAAGCAAGTAACCCTTGATGTTAGGAGAAGAGGAAGGGGAAAGGAAAGGCAAGAAAAACCACTCGCAGCGCAACTTTATGGAGGCTGCTGGAGTAAGCGGGGACGAACTGAAGAGGAACTGGTAGTAATGCTAACATTAATGGCGATGGTGATGGTGCGCATTGTCGGAGATAGATGATAGCCACTGGATAGTGGACGACATGGACAATAGCAATGGTGGATTAGAGAGCAAAATTATGCACAAGCAAGTAAAAGACTCAACACCGCATTCAAGATATCAATAAATCAATAACGAAAAAGAAAACGACACGCTATGCACCCCATCCCCAAAACGCCCCTCTACTAAAAAGGCCAAAAAAAAGCCTCCCCTGCCGCTCACACCCCCTGCACCTTCCGATAGCTAGGCGGTTTCAACGTCCTCCCCAAAATCTTCCCCGCATAAGGTGGCACAAGACTGATCCCCACCACGACCGCAAACCGCCACCAGAACCCCAAACTGCTCATATATGCAAGTTCGAAATACCTCCCCAATGCAGGTACACTGCCCCAGTAAATCCCCGCGGTACCTACAATACTCGCAATCATGATCCAGTGCCACGTCGTAACTTCCATAGCCACCATGACGAGCTCATTCATGACGAGCACGGAAAACGACACAGAGACCATGCGCTTGAAGACAGCGTCGCCGGTGTCGGAGTCAGAAGTCGTGGGCGAGCCGACGCCGACGAGGAGTTGAGATAGTCCTTGGATGATGGAGCCTTGGTAGATGGAGACCAGGACCCAGATCAGGAAGGATTTCGTGGACAACGAGCGGCCGAGTTTCAGCTCGGCGTAGAGTTCCGGGTACAAGTTTGCGACGGATTCGTCCACGTCGCGGTCCAGGACGAGCGAGAAGACGGGCATCATGGTGTAGATTGTCGAGTAGCCGACGAGCAGCCAGTCGCGGTAGAGGGCGTCGGGGCGGAAGTGAGAGGCGATGGAGTAGAGGGTTTGGCAGATTGAGATGATGAGGCCGCGGTGGATGACGAATTGACTTAGTTTCGCACTGCGTTTGTATGAGTTGCGACCGTGCCAGACGAGTAGCTTTACTAGATAGCAGAATTGCTCGATGGAGAAGTCCGCTGCGAGAGAAGCTTGCTTTCCTTCTTTGCCGACGATGCCGACGCCTACGTCGGCGGCTTGGATCATGGAGACGTCGTTTCCACCGTCGCCGATGCAGCAGACGCGCTTTTTGGTGTAGGAGCGGATGAGGAGGGCGATGTCGGCTTTTTGGGTGGGCGAACAGCGGCACGCTACGACGGCCGGGAGGAGGACGGCGATGGAGATGAATTCTTGGCGATAGTGGGTCAGCATTAGGGCAAGGGATTCGCCGTCTATGAGGAGGCAGGCGTCAGTTTTGCCGCGGAGGAAGTCGAGGGACGAATGCGCGAGTTCTTTGCGTTTCACTGAAATTGTTAGAGCGGGTAGAGAGGTAGAGTAGAAAAGGCTTACGCTTTGCGATGGTGTGCACGTACTGCCCGCGTGCTACTAGCTTGGAGCTTACGGCAACGCAGCGGGCAGTTTCAACTTTGTCGCCTGTCAACATCCAAATCTTGATGCCAGCATTGCGGAGAAGCTCGAGCGACGGCTTGACATCTTTCTGGAGCTTGTCTTCGACACCAGTAACACCGAGGAGCTCCAAGTCGCGCTCGAGATACTCTTTAACAACCTCAGAAACGGCGTTGTCGCGATTGTGAAGAGCGAGTGAGGCTTGTGCGTGTTTGGCGGAGAAGTCTTGATAGGTTTCGGCAGATAACTTCTTGCGGCCCACCACCAAAGTTCGGAGACCCTCTCTTGCCATGTTCGCTGTTTCTTCATCAAGCCAGTCGTTTGCCGCAACGATGGAAGTCATCACGGTGTCGGCACCCTTCTGGAAGAACCAGATCTCGCCATCGTCTTCCGACGGGGATGTGAGAGGGCCTTGATAGAACTTGATAACGATGCCCATTCGCTTGCTTTCTGAGGTGAAAGGGAATACATTCAGTATGCGAACGCGGACGACGTTGTTTCCGCTGTCGCATGACTGAAGGGTCATCGACTCGCGGTCGCGTTGTAGTAACTTGAGACCAACAGCTTCGGTCCATCGAATGATGGCAATCTCGTCAGGGGATGAAGCTTGATAGTTGGTAACCATCTTTCCGTCTTCCTCTTCAGTGATGGGTGTGACATTGTGGCAAAGGGCTAGTGCGAGGACGACATCACGCACCCGAGATCCAATTTCTCTGCGAGTGCGGGTTGCGGATGTAAGGGGTGCAACATAGGTTGACGAGGGTGTGAGAAACGCGGGAGGCTCCCCTGTAGGAGTGCTGAAGCTCTGTTGTACGTATGAAGCGACTTCATCCATAGCTTCATTGGCGTATGACACAGTACCAACGTGGATCTTCTTCATCTCCATTTCTGGCAGAAATTAGCAACTTCCTCTAGTGACATGGGGTAGGCTTACCGTTTTGCGTGAGAGTCCCGGTCTTGTCGCTTAAGAGATATTCTACCCTGCCTAAATCTTCTGGGATCGTACTTGTTCGGACCACGGTACCAGGTATGCTCTTGTCGTGTTCAATGAACCATGCATATACCGACTTCCCCATGTCGAGGTTGACACGGAGACCAACGGGGACAATGGTGGAGAAGAGAATGAGGAACCGCAGCATCGAGACATACCATTGCCGGTGGTCAATTTCTCGGAACCCAGCAAGAGCGACTAGGACGAAGGAGAGCGACAGTGTGAAGATGCACAAGAACTTGGTCAGGGAATTGATCTCGAGCTCTAGCAAGCCAGTCTTCGACCGGGACGGGGATGTTGATAGTGCTTGG